CCGCTCGGCTCCCCGGGCCCGACGGGCGCCTGGGCCTCTCCTGAATGGTCAGCGAGACCCGCCAATCGGGGCGCTGGGGCCGGCTCTGGGCCGCTGGATATTGGCTCCTCATACTCACCGTGCCTCGCTCCCCCGGTTCGCTGCCCGCGCTGATTGGCTCCAGTACCGGACTCCGAAACCCAATCAGAGGCTCCAGCCGCCGCTGCCGCCGCCACTGCCGCTGCCTAGCAAAATGGCGAACCCGAACAAAGGGGAATCAGGCCTCCCTCCAACCGCCTCCGCGCAGGCGCCTCGGGAACCACGCCCCTAACCCCAGCTGGGCTCGTTCCGCCCCCTCCTCCGCGAGGCAGTGCGCAGGCGCCTTGGGTAAGCCACGCCTACTTCCTGGATTTGACACCGCCTCTAGCAGCTGGACCACGCAGGCGCCTTCAAATCGCGCCAGAGCCGTCAACTCACACCTCTCTGAGCGTAGTACTACGCAGGCGCCAATGCACCCCTTTGCCAACTGCCCACCCGCTTCTAAGCGAACGAGGGGACACACCCCCGGAGCTAATGCGCAAGCGCCGATCTTCCCAACTCGCGGTCGGCTCTCTAGACGCATGCCCCGGCGGCGGCGGGATACTACGGAGTTTGTCGCCGGAAGTGCCGCGCAATTACCACAGAGAGCCGGCTGGGCTCGCTAGCTAGAGGGGCTCGTTTCCGCCGCTGCGGGGTGGGGCGGCCATCTTGGGTTCGCGTCGGGGCCGGTCCTCTGCTCCCCACCTACCAGGGTCGGACCGAGCCCTTCCTCGCGGGGCGGGGACCTCCCAACGGTCGACTCCTTTGCAGGTGAACGGTAACCCAGGTATCTGGCCCGGCTCCCTGCCCTCGCAGCCAAGGTGGGAGAGTCGGGCATCTCCTCTAGCGCCCCTGCCCTGCACACCCTTTCTTCGCCAGGTCCCTCGTGTTTCTCCTGCGCCATATCCGCTGGGGACGTACTTTTGTCTCCTGCAGAGGAAAGGACACCGTCCTGGGACGAGGAGGCAGGTCGGGGGCCGCCTTGGCTTCCGCCCCTGGAAAGCGCGAAAAGAGCGCGGGCCACGTCCCATCCTCTGGCCCTGAACAGTTTGGGGTCGCACCTTAGGGCCTGCACGAAGTCACACCCAGCGATAAACTTATTACGTGGGTGACCAGGGCATTGTGCACATAACATATTCAGACCGCCTGAGCGTTTCTACTTTTTCCTTCTCCTAGCAGAAGATAAAAGTTGTGAAAACAGCGACTCAGTATCATGGCCAGCAGCCTTAATGAAGATCCAGAAGGAAGCAGAGTGCGTAGCAACTATTAACTTACCGGTGAACTGAAATTCAGAATAATTGAGGTCAAAAGCATAAACACTTTTTTTAATTAAACCAATAATTGGATTGTCTTTTTTGTTTCTTTCAAGCTGATTTACTTAAGAAAGGCTAATACAATCCCAGGCGGGGACCATCCATCACATTCCTTTTACACGAGCTTTAATTCACTGTAATTAACTCCTTCGGTTCTGAGGATTAGACTTCATTGCCAGCTGAGGGAGGGGTGGAAAGGAAATAGTGGTGAGGACACGGAGTAAAGATAGAGCGGAGAGCGGTAGTTTAATACTTTATCTAATAAAGCATTGTCTTTCCCTTTGCACATTTTAGATCACTTATGTGAAAGGAGACCTTTTTGCATGCCCCAAAACAGACTCTCTAGCCCACTGTATCAGTGAGGATTGCCGCATGGGCGCTGGGATAGCTGTCCTCTTCAAGAAGAAATTTGGAGGGGTGCAGGAGCTGTTAAATCAACGTGAGTTTTGAAAACAGCTTACCCGTTTTGCCCTGGGTAAAACACCTTTTGATCATCTGTTATACTTTAATTATTAGGGTTTGCATGGGAGGGCTTCTTCATGACAGTGCCTTTAAATCTTTCGATTGTTTTTCCTCACAAGAGTGGCCTCCTGCCTGACCCCTTAGCCCTCCAAATCTGAAATCTTGTACAAGTTTTTAATCTCTTCCTCCCCTCAAAGCCTCCTTGATAAAATTATCCCACTTGTCTGAAACTTTGCATAACTCTGAAGTACTTAGCAAAGTCCACAGGTGTTTGCTTGACATTCAAGATAATCTGCTTAGTGCTACTCTTATTTTTCAAATAGAATTTTTCTTAACAGATCCCTTCATCTCGCACTAATACTGTAACAGTGCATTTGAATCCCATTGGGAGCCGGGTGTGGTGGCGCACGCCTGTGATCCCAGCACTCAGGAGGCTGAGACAAGGATTGCTGCGCGTTCGAGACCAGCCTGGGCTACGTTGTGAGTTCCAGGGCCGTCTGAACTACACAGTGAGACCCTGTCTCAAAAAACAGAAACAGAACAAAACAAAAAATCCCATGGGGAGCTTCAGAAACAAATTTCTCAGACCAAATTTTAGGCTTACTAAAGTGTCGACCAGTCGTTCTGATTCCAGACTTAGGCAAAAACAAACAAAACAAAACAAAAAAATCCCCCCCACACAATTCCTTACTACTTTTATTATGATTATTTGAGTCCTTCTCCAGATTAAAATTTTATTTGTGAACTTTCTGATGTTTCCCATAATAGCCCTACTCTGTAAGATCATTATTGCAAGAACATATACTTGGCAGTTTAATGGTTCATCCTAAAACAATTTCAAGGCAATGGACATTAATATTTAAGTGGATAAGAGAATATATTTGAAAGCAGAGACAGGATAAAAGATGGGGTGTGAGGAAACATGATTATAAGTGCGCTGTAAGTTAAGGGGTACAGTGTTTAGGAAGGTTGATGAGCAGAGAGTTCACAGAAATTTACAGTTGAAAATGATTTCTAGTTCTGATGTAAACTCAAATCTGTAAAGATTTAAAAAGTTTGAAGAATAGGGATCAGTGTTTTGGTTTTCTTTTTTTCTGCCACTAAATAACCGTTTTTCATAGAAAAGAAGCCTGGAGAAGTGGCTGTTCTGAAGAGAGATGGGCGATACGTATATTACTTGGTAAGATGGAGCCAGATCATTAATACAGCCTAAGGACGGGGGAACAGAGGGGCTGTGCTGCAATTGTGTTGGTCACCATGCTCTCTCTGGACACTTAAGGGGATCAAGAAGCTCCTGATCTTCTGACAGTTCAGGTCCAGTGGCACTGGCCACTTGCAGCCCTAGAGAAGAGAGGAGTGTGAAGCCACAGCCCAGCCCTGTGAGCCAGAGAACTGTGCAGTCTGCCATAGGCTTGTGTTCTAAGACTCACGGAAGGAGGGCTGCCTCCTCTCCCTTGATTCTCTCCTCATCTCAGTGAGATAGAAACAATGTCTGAGGAGACACATTCCCCAAGGGGAGTTTTCTCTTTCTGTCTGCTCTTAGTGCAGCACCAGGTAACGCAGCTCCTCTCCTGCCTGCTGCCTGAAAGAGGGGTTCTTCAGCTGTCCAGGCTTTGGCCTTGGGGGTGTGGCTTTTGTAGTGATGGTGGCAGATGACTTGATGCTACCCCACAACAAGCCTGATCTGGATAGCAGACTTAGTGGGGAGATGTCTAGCCCTGTTGAATTCTGTCCCTTAAGGCAGATGTTCCTTTTTTCTCCAGTACTGGGGAATTAAGTACAAGGAACTCAGGACCTTGGCTTGCCAGGCAGGCATGGTGCCACTGAGCTACATCCCCAGCCCTAATGTGACTTTTAAGTGTTTTTGTTTTTAAAAACTGCCAGCTTCTCCCCTGTTGTTTTGTAGAGAAATGAAAAGCCTGCACAGATCTTAAGTAGAATTTTAATGCTATTTTCAGGTGGCATGGGTTCTTCCTTGTTCTAGGCATGCAGATTAGCTCTTGGAAGTAGCACAGGGACTGTCATTGACTTTGCTTAAAAGCTACTGACAAGCACAATTTATCAGTCTCGTGGGTTCCTTGGATAAGGAAAGTTTTCTCCATGGCAGAGTCTGGGTTTCTCAGACCCTGTCCAGTGGCTTTCCCTGGGGTTTCCTCTTAACAGTATAGAAGGAGCAGTGTGACATTTGTCATCCCCCTTTCAGATTAATTATTCTGTAGTAGCACGTTTAATTTCTCAAGCTAGGGAAGACTCTGATGTTTTTTTTTCCTTGACTGTTATTTTGGGAAATGAGACTTTGAATCCTTTCTCTGTGTTCAGATCACAAAGAAAAGGGCCTCACACAAGCCAACTTACGAGAATTTACAGAAGAGCTTAGAGGCCACGAAGTGCCATTGTCTGAAGAATGGAGTCACCGACCTTTCCATGCCCAGGCAAGGAAATCCAGGGGCCTAAATGGATACTCGGTTGATGTGTGGGGCTTACTGTCTTACCGAATGACAACTTCACAGCTTCACTGAAAATTAAGAAAGATAGACAAATTTCCAGACTTAAACATCACCAGTGAACCAGTTTTCTGATTTTAGGCAAAGACCTTACTCCTAGATTGCAAGCAAGTCGGCATTTCCTACCTTTCTGTCTTGCCCTCCTTTTTGCAGTGATCCTGCCCCTCGCCCCTCTTCTCCTTTTTGTCTCACCATTCCATTATCTTATGTGTTTTGAACATACCATCTTTCCCATCTGTGCACATCCGGCTTTCTCCACTAGACAGGTAGCAGGGTAGTGGCTCTGCTGTGTCACGGCAGACAGTTTTCAGTGGAGCATCTGGTACGTTACGAGGCGGGAAGTGAGCTGTGGGACGTCCGAGCTATCTCGCAACGAGCTTGGGTGACTTCACCATGAGTGTTGACTTCCAGACACGCACCATGGCTGCCTGTGGGTGTCTCAAGGCTTTGAGTAGATTTTCCCCAAAGAAGAGGGAAGGAGCAATTTCCTAGGTAACTTCATCACAGCCAATGGAGTTGTTTTGTCTTTTTTTAGGATTGGATGTGGTCTTGATCGTCTGCAATGGGAAAACGTATCTGCAATAATTGAGGAAGTATTCGAGGCGACGGACATCAAAATCACTGTGTACACACTGTGAAAAAATGAAGAACATTTTGGTCCTTGTTCTCTGGTGTCCTCCCTGCTTGGCCATAAGATTGAGCCAGCTCACCTGAGAATGGGGAGAGGAAGATTTTCGTGTGAAGTAGTGTCATAGAGCAGGCTGGGGCTGCTGTCTTCTCATGTTTGGACTAGGATTCTGGAGGAGGGACTGCTTGGGGATGTGGCTGTGTTTTCTGCAGCAGGTTCAGGAGTAGGAGGCCTGATGTTAGGCAGGAAACCCAGAGAGTGGGTGGGACCCATCACCCGCTTTCGGCTCCAATGTGCTCATTTCGACGGCTGGCCACTAGGTGGCAGCATTGATTCTATTTCTCTGCTTTATGAGAAATTTCAGGAATGGTGAACTTTGAATTACTTGGGGATCTTGTTTGTGTGCTTACCTTAGTATTATGCATCAGATTCATCCTAGGAGAGAATCGTGAGTTTTTTTTTTTAATTACAAAATTATGTCTGACATTGTTACCATGGAATTTTTGGTGATAAAAATGGAAAAATAAATTTTGGGGTTCATTGAGGTTCTGTGCTTGTGCCTGTGTGGATCAGGAATGGGGTGACCACCGAGGATAAATCTGTAGCTTTATTTGGAAGGGCCCAGCAGGGCACACTGGGAAGAGCAGCAATGGAAGAAGAAAGAATGGATAGGAACAAGGGATCGGCATAGTTGGAGGGCTGGGTCTGGCTGTCATGGTGCACCCCTCCCTCTTCTGCCTAGTTCCTATCATTGAGAACAGCGGACTTCGTCTTGAAATAATACATAAGTGCCTGGCATAGCTCAGCGCAGAGTAATGACTCCATGAATCAGCGATTCTCAGCATGGGAGCCACTGGACCAATGAGGCATTTTTGTTTTTTCGCTTGCTGTGGTGCTGAAAGTTAAAACAGCCAAACTGGCTGCTGATTTTCTCCCTGGAGTGAATGGGCCGTCTGCTACATTCCCTAGTGCAAAAGAACAACTGGATTTTAGAAGGGGGACTTGTTAGGACACCAGGAAAGCACTGGTTAAGTATAGCCTTGGGACTTTAGACCGGCATTCTTATCACGTTTCAGCCTGATAGGGCAGTGGTTTCCAAACCTCTTGCTTTATGTCTCTGTGTGGTGCTGCAGGTTTCAGAGTGGTGTAGGGTAGGTTCTTCAGCAAACTTAGGCTGTGGCTTTTCTTGAAGCTTAGCTTCTGTATACATAAAGTGGAATTGGAGGGAAGAAAGGAGGGAGGGAATGTCTGCACAAAATTGAAAATGAAACGACCAATAAACAATTGAAATAGTTTAACTCTGACACACACACACACACACACACACACACACACACACACTTCTTTGTCATGTTCGGGACTGAACCCAGGGCTTTGTGCTTTTTAGGCAGATGGTTTACCCTTAAGGTTCACTCCCAGCCCGTATGTAAATAAATCTTACACGGGTCAAAACACCGGTTTTCTAGGGTTCCTTTACTTTTAAAGAGATGACAGTTAATTTTTTCGTGGAGTGAGTCTTGATTCTTTTAACAAAACCTCGTTTCATCCAGGATCTGCTGTAAGTGGAATTCTGGGACTCCCCAGGGACGTGATAAAGCGCTTTGTCAGTTGCAGATAGCCGTGGGTCAAATTCCAGTGCCTTGCCACCCTCGGCGGTCTGTGGGAGTGAGGCATGGCCTGGTGATCAGAAGGAGGACGTTATTCTTGGAAACCCAGTTAGAGTTTGACAAACGCCCAGAAGTTCACATGTGGAAATTCTGCTTCCACATAGAACTCAGACAAACATTCTAAGAAATGAGACTTTGGGTGTCCTCCTGCCGTGGCTGTCCAGGACCACGCATCAGACCATTCATTGTACAGCCAGACATGGAGCGTCTCCTTCCCACCTTCCCTCCTTTAATGGAGAAGCTAACTGCATATTTGGTGATTGGGATGTGGCTCTCTTTTGATATTTCCTGTGTGTTTAGTTCCATCCCTTGCTGTAATGTCTTCAGAGAAAGGGACAAGCTCTCATTTGCAAATAATCTCAGGAAAGTATTTTAAAGGATGATGGGAAGTCAGCATGGGACTGTTAGTTCCTGTGTTGTCTAGACAAGTTCTAGTTTAAACTGCTCTTTTTTGTTTGTTCGTTGTGAGGCAGGGTCTCAACTGTGTAATGCAGGCTGGCCTTGAACTCACTGTGCATCCCAACCTGGCCTGGAACTCACAGCAGTCCTCCTACCCTAGACTTACTTCCAAATGCCGGGATTACAGACGGGTGCCACCACGCCCAGCTGGTTTAATTTTTCTCTCCCACAACGCCATGGCTTGGTTCTCAGCCTAGGACGTCCCTAGGCCAGGGACTCAGTATCCATGGTAACTTCCTGGTGCCTAAGTTCCTTAAGAAACCAGGCCACAGAAAAACCATGCTACTTCTTTTATTGATGTTGCTGTTTTTCTTTCTTTAAAAAACAAAACAAAACAAAAACAGCCCAACTGAACATAAAATGTACTTCTGGACATATTCAAAGCTCTGTACGTTCGGCCTGAGGCTTCTGCCTAAACAGCCGCAAAGGGGAGTCAGGAAGACCCAAGGCCCTGGGAGCCTGGTGCTTTTCTCTTTGCTGCTCACGCGCCTCTTTCCCGACAGCAGCTCTGGAGAGAGAAGCACAGCCTAAATGAATCATGGCAGTGAGAAGTATATTTATCTGCTGAGGGCCTTGTGAGTGGGATCGGTTGTCCAGTGTTGTCGTGCTGCAGTGGTGTCCAGAAGACAGGTACGTCCCAGGTGGCATGTGTGTCCCTTGGCAGCAGCAGGCAGACCTTTGAGAAAACACAGCATGTTACCCAGATCTCTCACCCCACGCACCTACCAGTTACCTACTGAGCTAAGTTTCTGGATGTGTTCTCCACCCAGTCCCTGAATTTCTCCTCCATAATCTCCTGCAGTTGCTGGCTAACCCAGGATTGGGTTTGATTCTTTCATTCACGGTTTGTTTTGGTTCAAACACAGAAAGTGTCTTAGAAGAGAACTGCATTAGTTCTGGTCTCTGGATTCAAATACATGGTTAAATATTGTTATTAAAAACAAAATATGTAATAAGAGATCTGGGGCACATTTTATTCCACAACTCATTTCTTGGGGTTATTTTAATTAAGCGTGGTTTTTCTTTTGGGCTTTCAGATTACAACTGTATTTCATGACTTTAAAACTTGGTACATTTCACCTTCCCTTCAGGAGCAAGAATAGCCCAGGGCGGGGAGGCACATTTCTGGGCTCCAATGAGACAGCAGTGTGTACACTAAAGGGAGATGTTCAATTACCTATATTTTAAAAATCTGACTTTGAAATAAACTTTTCTCTCAAACTGGTTCCTTTTACTTCAATTTATATCAGATCCAACCCCTACTTAGCCAAAAGCAAAAGATCTCTTAAATCCTCCTGGATTGCTTACTTTTAATTGAAAAAGAAAATCTCTGGGGGGAAAAAAAACAACCCCAAAGCAAAACAAAATGTTTGAGGACTTATGTAGTTAGGAGAAGTGGCCCTGGAGAGTAGGGTTAAAATTAACTTGCCAGTTGTCATTCTGTGGTCTGTGTTGGGCTTACAATTATAGTACCTACTTACAAGTTCTTTAAAGCAGGTTTTTAAAAAAAATTTTGTTTGGTACCGGGGATCAGAACTCAGGACCTTGTGTTTGTGAGGCAGGTGTGGTGCCACTGAGCTACATCCTGGGGCCCCCTTAGAGCATTTTAAAAGGTAAGCTTTGTAGATTCAGAGGTCACTCAGAAATCTGTCTTTACTACCGCTCACTGCTTATTTTATGAGCAGAATGTCCGTGGTATTCCTCCACCACAGACCCTCTGAGATCAGTGTCTGGGTCCTGTAAGTAGCAGTAACTACAGATCGTGTCTTGATGGCTTGGCCAGTGCCCAGCCTGAGAATAGTCAGCTGTGCCTTGTGCCTGCCTAGTAGAACACTCCTGCAGGCATCGGCTTCTGGCACACTGATATTTCTTCAAAGTGTCTACGAAGCAGCATCTTCTCTTAAAGGGTATTAGGCATGAGAAATACCAAAAATAAATTGAATTCATGGAGGCGTGCTGCTTTTGTGTTTTATTAATATGTGACTTGTTCCAGAATTAAAGCCACAGACGAGGGCGGTTTGATCAGTAATTCTGGCCTTATAAAGGGCTCAGTTCAGTCACAGCGTTTCTGTGGAAGTAAACTAGAACAGACCAAAAGGAGATGGGAAAGGATCTTTCACCCTTCTTTCTGAGGATAATTGGCCTGTTTCTCTGAAAGTCTAATTTACCCTCAGCAAGTGGCCAAATTGGCCTTAATTGTGTCCTAATTATTTGCTTAAATAGCTAATCTTTACTTCCAGTTTTCCTATCTCCTCAATATCTGTAGGAGGCTGCTGCTGAGCTGCTGCCTAACCTACAACATCGTTTTAACCCTTTCACAAGTCCTGTATCCATGGGCTTGTTGCTCCCTTACTCCAGTTCTTCCATTTCGCTTTTCTGTGAGTTCTGAGCTCTTCTCAGTAAGGAAAATGCTCTCGCACTGTGCATCCACCCAACAGTTATCGATCTCCCTCAAAGCGTAACCATTTGTTTGAAGACGTGAAAGCAGGTCTGGCCAAAAACGAAAGTTGACTACAAATCCACTCGGGGATTTGAGAATTACCGAAGACGAAAGAATGAAAATCCCGTCATAGAGAAAACATGGAGGTGAAGATCGCTAATGGACTTGGGAGCAGCGTGCCTGGCGGGTGTCTTGGGTACGTCTGGGTGGGAGTACGGGGGTGTGCTTAGGGCTCTCAATGTCTTCTCTGCTATTATTCAGTGACCGGCCCTTGTGCTATCTGAATCTCACCAAGGCTCATTCTGGCTCGGAGCTTTGGGATCTCTGTCAGCTTTGGGTGTCCCAAGTTACAGGAAAGTTAGTCTGAAATGAAAAGGTAGCAGGGGAGATAAGAGCGGGCGGAGGGGCAGGGATTCAGAGGAAAGAGAAAAATGAAACAATGTTCTAAAATGTTTTTACAGTCAACCCAAAGCAGACAAATGCAGCCCTTCCAAAGGCAAATCAGCGTTACACCACTCATTCCACCCGACCTCACGCCCTCTCCCCAAGTCAGCGGCTGGTGCCGCGGCCCTGGGGGAACTCACAGGAGGCCAAGGCCGGCGCCTACTTCAGGATGTCCGCCAGCTTCTCCTCGTAGTACAGGAAGTTCTCCTGAATGTCCTCCCAGGGCTCAAAGGCCTTGGATTCACCCTCTTCTTGCTCCACGAAATTCTGCCAGACGTACTCGAAGTCCTGGGGCTTCATGATGCGCAGTCTGCAGCCAGCCTCCTTGAGCTTCCTCAGCGCGGCCTGGATCTCCGGCTCTTCCCACATGAAGAGCCGCCCCACCAGAATGAGCAGGCGCAGGTTCTTGGTCTTGCCCAGGGTTTTGACAATGCGATCCGCGCAAGCCACGCAGGGGCTGGAGGACACGTACCAGGTGACGCTGTACCGCAGGGCCGGGTCGAAGGCCGGCAGGATGGTGTTGAAGAAGGCTTCCTCCGCGTGGGCGGCTGCGTGCTCGTCCTCCAGGTACCCCCGGGAGGCCTGCACTTGGTCTCCCTTGCTCTGTACTTCCACCACGTAGCAGAGGAAGGTCTTGTTCCTCCCGGAGCTGTACTCCACATTCCGGAACTGAAACTTAAAGAAGTTCACAGGTAGCCGTTCCCTGTAGGCCAACGAGACAAAGGGATGGGAAAGGAGAGAGAATACTGAGCTCCTTTTCAGAGGACCAGCCTAGAGTAGGCAGATCTGCGAGACACGCTGGCTCTTAATAAACCGGCCTTTCCTAGGCTAATAATGTCAGCGAGAAAAAGGCGGCAAAGAGTCCAAAAGTGATCTGGGAGAGGGGAGAGAATTTGGATTGGGGTTTCCACTCTGGTCATCGTCCTCCTAGGAAGGATCTCCAGACACCGTTTCTGCCATCTCTCCCAGCACAGCACACCCAAACTTTCTATACCGGCGAATCTCTAACCTGGCCAGGCAAAGGCACCTAGAGGAACCCTTAGAAACATCAGCACCTCAGCCCCACATCAGACCGATGAGACTGGAATGGCTGGAGAATGGTCCCAGACAGCAGTGTTTGAAAAGTGAAAGAGAAAACCTCTCTAGAGGATTATGATAGGTGGCCACCTCTGCGAGGCAGGGCTTGAAAAGCAATTTTACCAAGCAGCAAGCATGCAAAATTTCTCAGGAGAGAGCAAGACAAAGATTTTGCATATTTCATGCTTTTATCTGTCCTTGTTGTAGCCCATGTACATTGCATTTTGGGGCTGGCCTGGCCTGTGTCTTGTAGAACTGTG